TGCAAAAAATGTTTAATTATGGTCATTTTTTGGTTCATATTGGTGCAGCCTGATTCTTGGAATCTGGAAAAATATGCAAAGCCTTTTTCTGAAAATAAAGAAAATAGATCTTAGAACTAGCCATAAATTGAAATATATAATGGAAATTGGCAACAAAAGTCATGACTTGACTACTTGTCATAACTTGTTGGAAAGATAAGATAGAAATGTATATTCAAATATTTATACATTACAACCACACCTTGTTTATCACTACCTCAGTTAAGGGCATTGGCAAATATGACAGAAATTTTAAAAAATAATTTTCCAAACTGTGTGTGAGGTTATAAGTAAATTTCATGGGCCTGACAACAAAATCATCCACTATGAAACTGATTAAGGTCTAGTCAGTTTCAAGAAGCAGCAGGATCTAGTCTAGATTCTAATAAACTAATTAAGCTCACAAAACTGCTTGTTAACTTGTGGTTAGCATTTTTTGAGGGAAGTGTTATGTTGATGTGTTTGAATGAGGTAGACTGGATTCCAGAGCAATCAGGGGGAGCTCAGTCCATAGTATTTTGTGTGAGAGAAAGAGGGAGAAGACAGCCCTTCCCTAATAGTTCTCAGAGTTTATGTTTGATGTAAATAGTAATGTACTTTGGTTTGGCAGAATTCTACTTATAAGCGCAGGATAATAAAGAACCCAGCTTGGAACAATCACCATGTGTCTTTCTTGGTTTTGGAGCCTAGCAGTTGCAGAGAAAAGAACTTCTGGAAGAAATAGTTTCTATAGAGGGACATTGTGTTGGAGAGCGAATCAGGCATAGGACACTGTAAAAGAGAATTTTATCTGGTTGAAATGGCAGCAACCAGCCAACTCTTTTTACACACACACGCACGCACGCATGTTTATGAATAACTTAAGGCAAAAAACCTAATATTCGTTCCACCTATTTTTCTTACAACGACCCTAAAAGGTTGGTTGGGCGCAGGAACAGTGACTGGCCCAAAATTATCCAGCCAGGTGCTGAACTAGAAATCATACTCTCCTGGTTTCTAGTATGGTATATTAAGCACCAGACCAAACTGGATCTATATATACTCCCCAAAGCCATAAAACTAGGGCATTTTAGAAGAATTGAGAAATACTCAGTTTGAGAAACGTAAGTATGAATGCAGAGACCGCTGCTTTTAGCATTATCAAGTCTTTGTGTAACATCTGTTTTTTAGTTTGTTTTTGATATCTGACTCCTTGTTATTTTTAAACTGCTCTTTTATTGAAATAATACAACTTCAAGGATGAGAAAACTACAAAACAGAAAAAAGTAAAGCCTGAAGCAAATGAAACGATTAACTGTAGTCAGTATTTGTACGCAGAAAATATGTCATGTAAACTTAATGAAAACATTAGCATAGGTAAGAAATGGTACGGATTTTAATATAGCGGTCACTAATTACAATGTCTTAAAGAATCTTTGCAACTGTTAATTTTTCAACTTACACTCTGGTCCCCAAAACTCAAAACACCCAGGTTGGCATGGCGCTGGAAAAAAGCCAGTTCCTGAATTTGAGAAAGAAACACCCCAATATTCTTGGATTTTTTTGCCTCCCCCATCCCCTTCCCATAAACGACAAGTACTGTAGGCAAAGGGAAAAGCGTTTTATTAAGACTTTATATAGGGCAGAGAGACAAAGGATACATTGGATATATATGTAATGTATCAGAAGACAACAAATCAAATAATAAAAGATATTGATTAGATGGGAGAAAATACAGATGCCCTTAAGATACGTTGCACTTTTTCATTCAATGACTGCAGCCCCATTGTTTGACTGATGTCCCTGAAAGGGCTAGTTTTTGCACATCAAAAGAAATGGTTTTGGCTCAAAGGAAAAACATGGTTTCCTAAACTTCAAAGGAGGCACAGGTGCCATGCTCAAATGCTAATATTGCCATTTATTAAAATGGTCATGATGATGCTTAAAATTCCATTTAACACATCGCCCATTTGGTTCTCAAATGAATAACAGTGTGCTGACCCATGGTAGTGTTTAGTATGCAAGTGAGCAATTAACATCTGAAATGGCATGGGATTCATAGCTGGAGCGTTTCTGTAGGGCAGGACCCAGAGAAGAATAGCAACAATGGGTAGCACATATTGAAGGGAGCACACCAAAGAAGATAATATCTCAAGCAGAGCCAGGACAATCACAATTATTACCACGAATAATAAATACTTCATTCACCCCAATGTGTAATCCATGTTCCAAGTGAGTTTTTTTTAAAAAAAATATATTTCCCTGGGTGGTTTTTTTTTTTTGGTGAGGATAGGAACTATCTTAGCTAACTTATGTTGCTGGGTAATTAAGCTTTCATGAAACGTATGTCAACATTGATTAATATACATGCGGACACCCCCCCCCATATTGCCCCCAGTAGCTGCTCTAAGACCTGCCTGTTTTGCAATACATTTTCCAGAGAAATTTCCATCCTGAAGTAGCTTACAGTTCTTTGAAGTGTCATGAACAAAAACTTCAAATGTAATAGATAAATTTGCAACAAGTTTATATAGTAAAAACCCTGTCTACCAAAGAAGAGGATTAAGCAAAATTGTATGATGTACCCACCAATTAGTACTAAAGAACACAAGAAAAAAATAGGGAGAGGGGTTGACTCAGCGCAGTTCCAACAAGTTTGATTTTGCAGGTCAGCATTTGTGATTGCATGAAGTTTGAGTTGGCAAGAGAGTTGCTCTCCCAGCTTATCCCACCCACTTGCTGCATTAAAAAAAATTCCAAATAGAGCAAAAGTGCAACAGAAATCATGGTTGCTTAAAAGAAGTCCACAAAGTTTCATCAAGTTCCGAGAGTTATGCAAAATCAGCAACAGTCCATTCCTAAGCCTGTGAATCCAGAACCTTTTTCCTTCCACACGTACAATATTTTGGAGTAGCCAACAATTTCTGGGTGATCCTCCCAGGTTGGATTGAGAGTCTTGTTATGGAACTTTTTAAGGCACAGGCAATCTCCCAGCTGGAATAGATGGATCTGGCACTCAGAGGAACTGATGCAGGAGAATATTTGTAGTGCAGAGTTGAAATGAAGGGTCCTTGGTGTTCTCTAAGCTTGGTTGTTTTCTTCTTGCAGACATTTCATTATCCAACCTAGGCAGTGGTGGGATTCAGCCAGTTCGCACCTATTCGGGAGAACCGGTTGTTAACTTTCTAAGCAGTTTGGAGAACCGGTTGTTGGAAGAAACCTCCTTTTGTGTTTTTTTTCCATTTTGCAGGGCTAATCCTGTAAGGAACGCAGGGAGGAAACGTTCTGGTGCTGTTTCTAGCCTAATCTTTATTGCCCTGCTTTACAGAAACTGTTTCTCTGGTCAACCCTTATTACATTGCAATAGCTAAGGCGAAGTGCCCATTGATGTGAGTGACATTGAGTTGGCCACTCCCATCCAGTCACATGCCCACCGAGCCCCGCCTACACAGCTGGTCATTAGGGCAGAGAACTGGTTGTTAAATTATTTGAATCCCATGACTGAAGCTACGTAACCTCATCAGTGCTGAGAGAGCACCAAGGACCCCTTGTGACCCCTACCCCAATTGCCTTCCAAAGCTCTCTGCTACTGCTGCTTCTGCAAGGATAGAAACTTTGGCATCCTCCTCACCCATAGATGTACTGAGAGGGCAGAGAGTCACCTCTCCTCTTTCTGAGTCCTTCTCACCCTAGAAAAAATTCTTGGGATTTTCCACATACGCTCTAGAGCCGTGATGGCAAAACTATGGCACACGTGCCACAGGTGGCACGCGGAGCCATATCTGCTGGCACTTGAGCTGTTAGCTCCAGGGCACAGGCGCATGCCAGCCAGCTGATTTTTGGCCTTCCAGAGTGCTGGGGGAGGCCATTTTTGTCCTCCCCAGGCTTCAGGAAAGCTTCTGGAGCCTAGGGAGGGAAAAACATGGGCCCAATGGGCCTATCAGAAGTCTGGAAACAATCTGTTTCCAGCTTCCAGAGGGCCTCCAGGGGGCTGGGGGAGGCTGTTTTTGCCCTCCCCAGGCTCTGGAGGTTTCCCTGAAGCCTAGGGAGGGCGAAAATGGCCTCTCCCGCCACCCCCGAAGAAATACCAAGCTGAGCTTGGAGGCGAGCAGTGCAGCACACATGGGGGGAAATGGGGTGTGTATGTGTGCGAACATGTGCATGTGGGGGCGCACTATGCATTATGGGTGCTGGCACGCATGCATGCTATCGCTTGTGCACACTCTCATTTTTGTCATGAGAGTCCAAGCCAGACTAGAATAGTTTGGGTATCACAATATCTTTTACATGTAGCTGCTGAGCCAAAAGACAAAAAAAAAAAAAGGAGGCAATTGGCCACCCATTAGGAACCATTCAAATAAACACCAGAGAGACATTGCAAGTAGCAGTCCCAGAGTCTGAAAGAAACTTCTGATAAGCAGCAGAGAGGGAATTTGAAACAAGTGCAAAGACTGAAACACAAAGTTGTTGAGCAAGCCTGACCAGCAAAGTGATTGCCTTTAATGATATAAGGTAAAATGACCAGGTTCTGACCCAGTTCTGGCGAACCGGTAGCGTAAATTTTGAGTAGTTCAGAGAACCGGCAACAGAGGTGGGTTCCTACCAGTTCGCACCTATTCAGTAGAACCGGTTCATCAAATCTACCGAACCAGTTAGAAGAGGTTCCA